GGGGCTGGAGGCGCAGGGGGAGGAGGCGGAGGAGGCAGCTGCAACAGCCAAGGCAGGGCTGCCTCGTCCAGGAGGAGCATCAGCAAAGTGGTGTACGACGATCATGAGAGCGAAGAGGAGGAGGAGAGCATGGTGTCCGAGGAGGAAGAGGAGGGAGACCCCGAGGATAACCAGCAGTCCGAGGAGGAAGAGGAGGAGGAGATAATGGAGGAGGAGGACGACGACGACGACTCTGACTACCCTGAAGAGATGGAGGACGAGGACGATGCCAGTTATTGCACTGAGAGCAGCTTCAGGAGCCACAGCACCTACAGCAGCACCCCAGGTAGAGAGTCAGTGGGATGAACTAAAACCAGTCGAGGGCACCCCACATGCTCCCTCTAGGTTTGCACATACACTCCGCACGCATTCTTCCTCCCATGCGTGTGTGTAAGGGATGCCTGCAAGCACTCACGGGGAGAGAGGGGTATGCAAATTAACGACTGGCAACCCCAGGGATGCAGGGAACACTGGAAGATGCTTACAAACACATGCGCTGAGAGGAGGGAGGGAGGGAGGGCAGCCCATGCGCTAACAAGGGGATGCTTTGCAAATATGCTTGGAGATTCTGGTGACTGCAGAAATGCATGATACACCAGAACATGTGTAAACAATGTCAAAAGTGTATGGAGCGTTCACTTAATATTTAGAAACAAGGGAAATGAGATGTGTGCCTTGCAAAGAGATCCTTTCCAATATTTATAGGAAAGAATGGCTTGTGATTGCAAATATAACTTGATGTTAAAGGAAAGGAAGCACATGCAATTTGAAGTGGCTTAAAAAAAAACCCAACAACCATAAACACTGAAAATTTTCAGGCTCTTGAAATCAGAGGTATAACTGGATCCAGCATATACTGGCTTTAAGGCAAAACTAGCTTTCCAAGGAGGGAAATGAGGTGCATTGTTCAAAATGGAGATTGCATTGTTATAGTTTGGGGAAAAGTGCACAGGGCCTCACTGCCAGGGTGTAAGCCTAGTTTTAGTTAAACACCAGGATTAAAAGGTGGAGGTTGAGTCAAAAGTCTTGGGTTTAAATACTGCATTTATCTTAAGATATGGCAACCTTTAAAACTCATGTTGGGGTTAAAACTTGTTAAACATCTTTGTGATGTTTTTTTAAGCTCTAGTGGCAAATTTGGGCTCAGATTTTTAAGACCTGCACTTCTGTTTGTCCTTAGTTAGTTCATTAACCATGTCGGTTTCAAGCTTCAAAAAATCTTTTATGTAAACTTAAGCACTTTGAATTTACTTTAATTCATTCCAGAATGGAGATCAAGCTTAGGATTTTTTTTTTTTTAAGTCTCTGAACGAGGAGAATAGTTAAACTTAGGGATAACCTAGTGATGTTTCCTCTTTGGGCTACAGAGTAACACACTGCTGTTGTACAAGTATTCGGCCACTTTGGAAGGGGGAGGAACAGGTTGTTTGTGTAAATGCATTGCACCTTAATTAAAAAAGGGGTGTAGTTTTGAGCAGTTAGCTGACAACTTTTTAAAAGGGTTAAGTAGTGGCTATGAAATGTAATTTGGTTTTACTTTGGTCAGTTAATGGTATGAGCTCATTATGTGGCTTCATAATAGTTCTTTAAAAAACTGTATATATCTATATATTTTAATCTATATCCATATGCTTGGGAACTTAAATGAATCAAAGTAAGTACATACACTAATACATTAATTTAATTTAGATATAATTTTTGTAAGGTGTTAGTTTAGCTGTTGCAGAGATGTCCTGCAATCAAACTGAATTTTTTGAAAATTTATTACTTTAAAGACTGAGGTCTGACTTCATAGAAGAAAAAAACCTAAAGCACTCTTGACTTTTAACTCTTCATATTCTACTTAGTTGTGGTAACTTTAATTTTTGTTACTTTTTGGGGAGTGCTTTTGTCAGGGAAAGAATATTTTTACTATTTTAATTGACTAGGTCAGTAAAATATATTTTACCTGAGCATCCAGGTTTAAACTGAGTTCTGCACAGTAGGGGTGTATTCGGCTTCTGAAATGTACTTAAGTGTTTTGGCAGATAACAAGATACCGCTGTGGGCATTGTTGTGCAAGCGTAGACAGGTTTTAGGTGTATCAGAAACCATTTTGATAATTTAAGTGTTTATTTCTCACTTGCTCAGGTACCTCAGTTAATTGTTAAAGATAAGTTTAAGTGTAAGCATTTTCCTTCTTTTCATGTGCCTTTTTTTTCAATACTGAGCGTTTGATAGTCAAAGCAGCTACGTTGTTATTTTGTCAATTTACTGTTCTCCTTAGTTCAGTATTTGCCTAAAGGTCGTCTTCCCTCCTTCCCTCTCTCCCGGACCTGCTGTTTCCCTTTTGCAAAGAAAGTACAAACTTCTCATCCCATCAGCTCAGTTTGTGTCTTGTTTCTGCTGAACAAGTATCTACATTGTGAGCACTGCTACACAGTGGTGGTACTAACTGAAATCATCTTAATTCAGGAACTGATGCTTGATGTTACAACAGCGTTAATAGGCAATGAGAAGATTCACCTCCCCTCAGTGTCTCTCTGTCTTCCGAGTTCCTTCATTGGGCTCCAGCGCTCTCTGACTCAGGTGCATGCTGAGCCAGACTTGGTCTTTAGCTGTGGTTTAGGGTTTTTTCCTTTCTCCTATGTGTCTTCAAACCAGAGTGTAACGTACAGTGACAGAGTTCCCGTGGTTAACGGGAGGGCTTGCAGGAGTGTCTCCTCTGTGCCCGACAGAACGGTGTGGTGCCGCTGGGATTTTTCTGCTAGGAGAGATGATGAACTTCCCTACTTACCCTCCCTCAGTCACGTGCAGCCTGGATTACTGCCACTTTCAGGATGTAGTTTTAGGGGCTGAAGAGTTGATTTTTTGAGAGCGAGGTATTGAAAAATTGCAATCCCAAACAAACTCTCCTACCAACCAAGATTTTGCATGTAAATCACGTCCCACTTCCATGGGTGACAGGCTTTTTAGAGTTTTTTCACATTTACATTGAACAATGAGTTCAAAGATCACAGTGCACTGTCTCTAGCCAAGAAAGGCTCAGTTGTTGTCCTCTGATGGGGAGTTTACAATACATCTTGAACTTGCATATAGGAGTACATTTTTAATATATTATTAAAGTGTTTAAAGAAGCAAAATCTTACAAATGGCAAAATGCCTTCGATACAACGCTTATTAATGGTACAGTGAAAGCTTATTGTCTGAGTGCATATGGCATAATGGCTTTTCCTTCTGCTGGACAGACTTCTGGTAGAGGGTTTTTGTTTGTGTGTGTAATGTCCCTTCTCTCTCATCCCTTTGTATCCCCAGAAGGTAGGTGTACTTTTAGGATAGGTATCCAATGTATCTTGTATCACTAAACATTTTTGCCAGTACCTGTCAGCTGTAAGTTCTGCCTTAGGTTTGTCACAGTTGCATTATAGATACCAAGTATTTGCCATGTGTTGCAAAATTTTAAAAGAAGGATTTAATCAAGATGCCTAGAAGTCCTTCATTTTTTTTTCCCGTTTCTTGATTTTCTTCATCAAAAACTTGGAAAACTAGTTTTAGGAAGAGCTATACATCTAGATTTTGGCTATAGTACTCATGAGTCTATCTGACAAGTAAATGTACAACAGCGGAGTTGTGAGCCAAAAGATTTATCTTAAAATACATTAAATACAATTTTTAGATGGGTTTTGCTGGTCTGAGCATTTACAGTGATTGACCATCACATGTTAACCAGCGTGCTTTGATCTTCAGAGTGAAAGAATTTAACTGGAAATGAGGTGCTGCATTTTGTGTGTCTGTAGTAATTTTATGTCTTAAAACATTTTCATGCTCTTGAAGAATTGTTTGAGTGGAGTCACTGAGATACAACAGTCAGACAGCAGCCTCTCTTGTCTGTCATGTAAGAAGATTTACCAGCTTCCCAGACATCTTGCCAAGGGTACTCTGTTTGCTACGTTAAATTTGGCATGCTCTGGCTTTACCATTTAGTAATCTGAACTTTGTTACTCCAGAGGAACTACTGGTAGTTCATCATGCCATTCATGAAAAATGTAGAGTCTTAGCAAAGAAGGCCAAAGGAGTAAATCTGTGGCTAATTCTGTTGCGTTGACAAATTTGCAGTTTGTCTGAAGAGAGCATTGGTCGCAGCTCTGTACAGCAAATACCGTGCCATTGTCAAAGAGTGTTTGTCATAGAAGGCAGAATAATCTGATGTGCTGCAGGTGAGCTAATTGTGAAAACCCTGTTTTGTAGCTCTACAGTAAAATTCCATAGTTGACCATCGCATTACGCAGAACTGGCATACGTGAATAAATGTGGGTTTAAGTAGATTGGGGCTGGCTCTCAGGGCTCACTAAGTTCTGAAATTGTTACCATTTACCTTCAGTGTGTCCCGACTAAGGAATTGTCTGTCAGAATGTTCCTGAAAATCATTATATTAGTGGGACTTTTGTTTTTTTGTGCTGAGCTCTAGGCACAAAAGGGCTGTGACTGAGCACTTCTCAGAATGATGATGTGGGGTCTCATCTGCCACTTGTTTTGCTTTAGTTATCAAAACATTAAAATGATGCCTAAGAATGTGGGGAGTTGTATTCCTGGCTCCTTCTGAGAGTCTCCTGATGGCCATGATGTTGAGAAGTGAAATTCTTAATGTAAAATCAGCCAAGAAGCCTGTTTTATTTAGAAGAGTACAGGTGTACAGACTGAAAAAATAAAGAGCCAAAAGTTTTAAAACAGTTTTAAAATAACATAAAGACCTAGTTTTGTACAAGGCAAAGCAGCAGTCAGACTCAGCTTAGGAGAAGATGTTGACAATTTCTGCCTTACAAGTCCTCTCAGGAAGATGCTCTCAGGATCTAGTGTAGAAACAGGTTATTTTTGCATTTGTGCTTCAACTTCCAAAGCTTTTGTCCTGTTTGGAATGTCTAATTTTTAATGTCAGTTTAGATTTTAAGTTTAATCTGGTTTGTGGTTGTGTTTTCTTTTTCCAGGCAATATAAATAAATTGGGTTTGGTATGATGGTTGCAGAGCAATACTGAGATTGGAGCTGTGCTTATGAGCAGTTACAAATGCAACTTACTCTTCCAGAAAATATTTCTGGAAGAGACTGACTTGAGAATATTAGAAACATGTTTATTGTCATGTTAGGATTTTTAGAAGGGGAAAAAGTGGTTTGTGTAAGTTAGAGCTTTTAATTTTGGCCCATCCCAAGAAAAAGATTTAGAATTTTCTATTTTGGTACTGCTTTTCATAATATATTCTTATTTTATGTTAAACTGATTAATTTTACTGCTTTTTCTTCTTTGGTGTAA